AAGAGAAAAAGGCCGGAAAAGGCGCCGAGTACGCTCTCCCCCGCGCCAGGGTTGCTCGATCCACCCGGCCGCGGGGGGAGGGCCTCGGCTCAAGTATTTGACCAAATATGGTAATTTCCGCTCATGGTTTTAGCGTAAACATGTTTTTTTGTGTAGCTTCCTCCCCCGTTGCCCAACGCGGAGCGTCGATGACGCGCTCCGGCCCTGAGCAACGGTGGTGGTGGGGGAAGCTACGCTCGACTCTGAACAGATATTTTGGTAGGTCTCTCATCATATATGGAAAATGTACATAAGTATAGGGAATGGAGGGGCAAGCTGAAGCTGTTCGGTGTCATAGGTTTCATCGCAAATAACTCGGCGAATAATTACATCATAGAGAGTCTACATTCGTACTTTCCGAGTAATTCTGTTTGCAAACGAAATTTAGGATTGTTTTAATTCGTTACTTATTGTTAATTAGGATTCGTTACGAGGGTTTGCTCACAAATTTTAGTCTATTTGATAACAAATCTTAACAAATATCAGGAGCCACGGTAGTGTCTTGGTGTACGGCATTCTTCAAAATTCTTTTAACTAAAATACACTACGCAAAAAAATTAGGGGAGCACTTTAAAAACTGCAAATTTTGCGACTTTTAGAAACCAATATATCGGCTTCCAGGAATCGCAGGACATTGTTCCTTAGCGCGTTTCGAAGGGTAAGGCCTCTACTTTAAAATGGCCTAAGTGAAATTTTTCGTCCCAATAAACTGTTTTTTTCACAAAAACCAAAAACAGAGAGTGTTTGAGTCTTAAAAATGTTATGACATTGTAACCTTTCATGGGCAAAGCAACAACGAGGCGAGAAACGTCATCACATTAGTTTTGAAGCCGAAAACATTCCTTTTAAAATGGCATAAAGAAAATTGTTCTAGCTTGCCTATGAGCTGAGTTATCAGGTTCCAAAGTAGATCCTGTTTTTTGCAAGATTTTGATCAAGTACCGCCGGCATTCGATGTGTACCACGAGAGAAGGTTGCTCGGTCGGACTTTGCACATTATTGTGTGTGTGTGTGTGTGTGTGTGTGTGTGTGTGCGTGTGTGTGTGTGTGGGTGTGAGTATGTGAGTGTGTGTATGGATAGGTGACAATTGGTTGTGAAATGCGGATGGGTGGGTAGGTGTATGTGCGTATACTACTACCCAATTTTGATATGTGTATTCATTTCTTAAATTGTCCAATGCTTTCTGTCGTTTACATTTTAAATACATGTATAATTTAGCTATATCGTCCATTGATGGAAGATCATCATTTTTATGTCTTTGCTGCTTTAAACGTGTTTCCATTACTGTTTTGTTAACACTGGTACCGTAATCTTCTT